GCGAAGCGAACGGTGAAAACAAGTGTATATACCGAACTACCGCTGGTTTGTATAGATAAAAAAAAAAAAAAAACGACCGTTCACTTGAAGAGAGCGAGATCTTTTTTTTGTGAGTGGGCGTTTTCCAGCGATGCTGCAGGGGATTGCCTCCCGCACTCGTCCTATTTCCATCGTTGATGCAGTCGGCGGCCTGCCTATCACACTTCCATTCCCTCGTAGGTGTAGGGGGCTTTGCCATGCCTCCCACACATGTTGTTGTTTTCTTTTCCATTGTCGGCACAAGGGACGGCCTGTCTCTCGCACTTGTTGATTCCCATTGATGTCCTGGGCCTCTGGGCTCAGGCGGTGCCGGTCTTTGCACAGGTATTTTTATTTGCAACTTATTAATTTGTTTCGTTTAATTATTCCACATCTTTTTTTTTTTTAAGGGATGCATTGTGCTCTTTTTACTTTTGTTTTTCTATCACTGTTAAATTGCTAACATTTACAATGTTTTACAATTATTTTTTCTATCTTTTTTATTTTTTGTTTTTTAATACTGTGAGCGTTCTTAGCTCTCTGTCACGGTCGCCTTGTAATAAGTAAATTCATTTACTCATTCATTAAATTTGAACATCACCAGATAATTCACAATATGTCGCGAAAAAGTCTATAGTGCTTTAATATGGTTAATCAGAAATAACCCGCTTTACAAAGATGTACGTATTGACGACAATGCCCAAATTAGTGACCAGGAGTTAGTATGACTTAGTGTGCCCGAATTGTCTGAAGATGAAGCGTCCGAAAGGAATGAAAATTAAATTCGAAATGCATTCATTCCAATTAATAATGTTGCAAGAATTATTCGAGCTTCATGGCATCAAGGTGCCAACGTCTTTACTTCGCGATATGCTGGTGTACAACGTAGTGCTATGTCGTTGGCGAACAGTTTCCAAGCTGCAATCATAAGCCCAAATCAATGGGACGGCAATATTCTAAATGCTAATATGTTAACGGGTGACTCCTTATATTGCTGGATTCGTACCCAGCTTGATCCTACTGAACTGGATGAAACAGGATATTTAGAGATACGAAACTTTCATATCGTCAGGCAAAGTTCACAAATGTATGAATGCCGATTTTCAATAGAATATGATGAAGACACTCTTTTATTCGGGAGTCTCCAAGGTTCTGTAAATACCAATAATATCGGCATTACATTACATACAGCATTAAATAGATTATTTGATAGTCATTCTTCAGGAGTATTGACAGCGTCAAATAAATCTGTTAGCGTGTTTCGCGGTGGAGACAAATTCTATTTTGCTGACTCCCATTCATGTGGCCCAAAAGGAAAACCAACATCAGCAAATGGCAAAGCCTGTGTAATAGAATGCGACAACTTGAAAGAACTGTGCCGCATCTGTAAAAGATGCCTCGGATCACGTAATATCGCGTACACCCTTACACGCGTAGAAGACATTTGAGGGAAATTATCACTCGTCAGGGTGTTCAAGTACAGCAACAGGAAGATGCCATCACTCATCAAGATGTACAAGTACAACAACCGCTTTCGAATCTGAGATCTGAAACTATACCTATACAAACATCTGTAATGTTGCCTATTAATTGCGTCCAATCTGATGTTGAAGATGAGCTAGAGGTATTTGAAAATGTAAACGAAATCAGAAGAAAGACGAATAATTATATTGTGAATGAAGTTTATGAGTTAAAAGCAGAAGAGTTCGCATGTTATCAGCTTTTCCCGTATGGTAAAAATGGTTTAAAAGAACAACGGCCCGTAAATATAAGTCCTTTGGATTACTATCAATTTCGTTTATTAGGTTCTGATGTTAGATTTCAGCGCAACGATTACCTATTCTATGCTCTATCAATGTTTAAGTACTATCGAGTTAAATCAACCATTGCAGCTTGTGCTAGAAAATTTGAAGGTGGAAACGGCAATCAAGTGGAAGACCTGCAAATATATTTAAAAAATCTAAGAGGTTCAGCAGCTTATTGGCGTAGTGCTCTTAGTGATCTTATAGCACAAATCAGATGTTTAGGACCTTCCACTTATTTTGTTACATTGAGCTGCAATGATCTTCACTGGAAGGATATGAAAAGAGGCCTCCTTGTTAGTGATGGTAAACAGCACATTGACCCAGATGACATAGAAATTCAGGAAACTCAGAGACTCATCGAGAAGTATCCAGTTGTTGTGAGTAGACATTTTTTAGTACGTGTTAATGCGTTAATGCAGTTTCTTAAAACTGATACTGAAATATTTAACGGTAAAGTTAAAGATCATTTGTGGCGAATCGAGTTTCAGAACAGAGGAAGTCGTCCTCATTTGCATATGGTTATTTGGATCGTAGATCACACGTCTGTTGCGACACCTGAAGGAATAGCTCGCATTGATTCAGTCTGGAGTACTGCCATTCCTCCAGAAACTTCAGAACTATATAAATTAGTTAAAAATTGTCAAATACATCGACACACTAGTACCTGCACGAAAAATAATTCTGTTTGTTGTTTCAACTTTCCACGCTCGGAATGCTTAGAGACACATGTTATTGAATCTAACGAATTCATCTACAACGGTGGTCACATTTGCGTTCTTAAAAGAATGCGCATATTAAGAGAACGTCAAGTTTCAGCCTACGAATGCATATTCAGGCTATGCCATTTGAGTATGCGTGACAGCTCGAGAAAAACAATTTTTGTCAATACTCGTAAAGCGGAACAAAGGTATAAAGTGTTGAAGTTTAATGAAGCCGGTCAAGCAGCAGGATATTGTGCCAATATTTTCGAACGATATGAAAAACGACCAGTAGAGCACCCCAACTATGATTTTAACAATATGTGTCTCATAGAATTTGCGATGTTATTTGAGCCACACTACACAAAACGGCGAGATTTAAATGAAGAGAGCATCGATACCGATGCTTATGCACCACATGAGCAAACAACAAGAAGGCGTCTTATAACTTTAACAGACAACACCAAAATGACTATTAGAAACACGCCAGCTGTAGTACGGGTACCTAACTTCGTAGCATCTTCTGATCCAGAGTCATATTATTACAGTTTACTAATCCAGTATATGCCGTATCGCAATGAGGCCGAAAGAAGTTCCTTATTTGCCAATAAATGAAAACCAGTTCTTACAGACTAAGCAGTCAATGAATGCAGGACAAAAACAAATTTTTAGATTAGTTACCCAGTTCATACAAAATCAAATGACAGGTGATGAAGAACGTTTAAAAATATTCTTTACAGGAGGAGCTGGTGTGGGCAAGACTTTTCTATTAAAGTTATTACGAGACCAAATTATTAGGTGCTACGCAAAGGATGCGGTTAAAGTCTGCTCACTAACAGGAATTGCAGCTAGATTAATAAATGGAGCTACGATACACAGTACTTTAAAATTGCCTGTACAGAAAAACGGTCGCATAACAGGTATGTCACCACTGTCCGGAAACTACTTGCAAATAATGAGGTAACAATTGCATCAGACAGAATTTTTGATTGTCGACGAGATTTCCATGGTGTCTTATCAAATGTTATGCATGATGGACGCTCGATTAAGGCAAATTAAGAAATGTGAAAATGAGTTTTTTTGGAGGATTAAACGTATTACTTTTCGGTGATCTTTTACAACTGCCTCCTCTAAAACGATCAATAAACCCTGTTTTCAAACAGCCAGAACATCTCAAAACAGCTACACATCTCTGGCGTTTATTCACGCTGTGTGAATTAACTGAAAATATGCGTCAGCAAGGTGACCAGGCTTTTATTGATATTTTGAATGCTTTCAGAGTCGGTGAGCTAACAAACCAACATTTTAGTATTTTAATGGGAAGACTTCTGCAAGACACAAGTGATGAGTTTGCAATAGACAAAGCGTGAAGGGTATTCCCCACAAATCAACAAGTTAACGACCACAACTCTGCTGTATTGAATTTGTACAGAAATATTGGTGCTCGCATTTACAAAATAAAAGCGCAGGATCAGCTAGTATACTCCACACGAAATGCAGACAATGTGGATATAGCTACTATAATACCAGCTGATATCAACAAAACTGGAGGTTTACCAGCAGAACTGGAAATATTTGTCGGGGCAAAAGTTATGCTACGGTCCAATTTTGACGTTTCGAAGGGATTAGTAAATGGCGCTATAAGCTACATCAACGAAATCGTTTGGCCTCAATTTCGTCGAACTCAGATGTATGCAACAGATGTACCTTCCGTCCAAATTGATTTCGAAAAAGACGAGTTACATCTTATACACCCGAAAGCCATACAGTTTCCAGCTAAGTACAAACAGGCTATTTACTGTAAGATGTAAAAACTTTACAAGTGAGGAGCACAACGTTGAAGCTGGAGTTCCTTTAGGCTTCGGCCAGGCATTGAGCGATGAGCGACAGAGCGACGATCTCTCGAGCGACGTAAAATATTAAAGCTTATGAGAATGCATTGGAGTGACCACGCAGCCGCTGAGCGAGGAGCGAAGTTCTTGAGCGTCAGAGCGACGTCGCTCAGCGCTAGAATTGGTTTTTATTTTTAGTGCATCGCTGAGGGTTGCAAAAAATATGCGCGGAAACTTTAATTTCGGCTTTTCAAAGCCGAACAGTTTTATTGAACTACACTCATAAAGAGTACATAAATAAAAATACTACTGATAAGCAATGGAATAAAGTAGGAGTTATTTGTAACTTTAAGGGATGACCGCCAAACCTACGCCTTTGTATTCTTTTTTAATTTCCTATATTTTCCCCTCTAGAATAAGGCGTTTTTACAACTAATCAACTCGAGTGATGTCGCTCAGTGCGTAGCCACCTCACTCAAAGCGATCGCTCATTAACGTCGCTCGAGAGAGCGTCGCTCAGTCGCTCATCGCTCAAAGCGTGGCCAAAGCGTTAGGAAGCTTACTATGGCAAATCTTGTACATCCTGTACACATCAAAACTTAAAAAAATTATTATCTGCCGCATCACTGCTTTATGAATAAGGTGGTATTTAAAGGTTCTTTTTATTTGAGCTAATTAAAGTGTGTTTAATAATCAAGCTCTCCAAAATAGGATGTTAGTGTACTTAGGTTGGACAAGGGGAAAAACAAGCAGGATCCGAAACATTAAACAGAACACCACTCTTTCTTAAATTTTATCTGTGCTTCCTTTGCAGCTGCTGCTGCTTCCCGTTTTGTTTTTATTTCCGTTCTATATCTTTCTTTGATTTCATATCATGCGATCACTGTCGGAGTTTTCATTAACTGCAGCTTTAAAGGAAGTCCACAAAGTCTGCCGCTTCAGTTTGTGGACTGGGCAACTTGAACCCAATTAAATCACTCAGCCTTAATCACCATGCAGGCTACGCAGACTGATAGGGAAAGAACAGATTTTATTATGGAAGGAGAAAAGCGTTCCGGACACTGCGTCCAAGACTACGAGGGAAGAGGGAGGTTAAGAGTCAGAGATATTTTTCTGAACATTTTTGTCGCCTACCAACGTTTGTTCAAATTTTCCTTTATCACTCCAACTGGGAGTATAGAGATTATACAACTTGTAGTGGATTCAGTAATCTTTGGTTTTTTCGGTCGAACTGGTGATTAACCAGAAGCACTTTATCTGACTGGTGGGGCTGCCACATAACGCCATCCAGGAGTGGTCAAAGTTTTATTGTCGTGTCCATAGTAACGTGTCCGGGGAGCCGAATTTGTGTTATTATTGTTTAGTGCGAGGTAGAATTGAGCATAGAATTGATGGAGCTCTTTGGAAAAAGAGCCGTTTCTTTTTCGTGGGGTAGCCTGGGATTTGAACCCAGGTCTTTTGGTTCGGAGGCCAGATCTTTTCTTGCTGGTCCACCCCCCAACTGATTTGTTTATCTCTCAAATAAACGACGATTCTTACCAACAAGCACACTATAGGTTTCTTTTATCTTAAACGAAAGCTTAAGCGGCATCTGCAACTTAAACTACAAGACTCGGATTTTATCAAGGAGAATTTACAATTAAAGCATATGTCGTTACATACAATTTGGTTAATCATTGCAAGTGTTTCTGCTTCACCATTGCGTTCTGGAAGTGGAGATCACAAGTACTGAGCTTAGAGTATTTTTTGATGGATTTGCTGTCAAGGGAATCAGGCCGCACTCCCAGTAAAATTTTAATGGCAGGGCGTACAATATAGGAAAAGCAAACAATACTCGAACTTTTTAGAGGCCTTAACTGGAGACATTTGTAAAATATTCAGATGTTTTCGGATTTCTAAATCAGATAGGTTTTTGCAATTTATACTGTGGCGCAACTCCCCGTCACAGCCTACTAATTTTTATAAGCTTGACACCCGGGCATACGGCTCAAAGCCTGCCTTATTTCTCTCTGTTCTGTTTTTATGTGGGTGGTCTTATCAGAGGAGGGTCTTGCACAGAAAAAGTCAAGAATTCAATACATCAGATACAACATACAACATTTTGACGAAAGGCCATTTCCAACTACGCAAGCGAAGTTCCAACCACCCGGAAGTACTTCGACAAATTCTTGTTCTTAATAATAGTGACATACCGAAAACATTTGGTCTCTCCTGGGATCCCGTTTGTAATTGCCTTCTGTTTATATTTTCGTTAATTTCTGAGTCAACAAACCAAACAGAAGGTCTGTCCTTTCCGATATATCGCGTTTTTATATATAATAATTTTTTCTCGGTTAGAAATCCTAAATGACTACAAATATGGAACTCATGAATTAGGAGATGCCAGTGAGAATGCTTATGAAGTTTCCATGGCTCATTGAAAGAGCACTTATCTTCTATGCACAACATTTTGAGGGAACTTTGTGGTGCTTTGCTGCTTTCACAACTTAACTCAGGTTAAACCATTTTCTTGCCCGTTGTACTGCTGCTCAGACTCAGCCGTCGCAATGTCTCAAATGCAGGTACAGCTCGACTTCGAGTCTCCATCAACAGCATGGATTGGCGCTACGTTCCCAATGCTCTCAATTCAGCTGATACAATATCTCGGGGAGCATGTCGTAATTGCATTCTTGAGTCTTACTTTTGGGGAAATGGTCCTGATTTTCTAACAGATTAAGAATATATTCCCATGTTCAGCTGTGAACTTTTTGCCAGAGTTAGTGAAAAATGTTCTGGTTCCTGTGACTAGTGTTGCTAAAGTTCACAAACTCTTTTGAAAAATGAGCCGTGGTTTCGGCTATGTCTTCAAGTTTACCCTTTAGATAAGACGACGATCAATGCAGCAAGTTCATATTCAAAATGAGTACCATCCATCAAAAACTCAAGCTCCATCAAATTATTATTATTTGACTGTAAATTTATTCAAGTTGGTAGCCACCTAGCTAGCTCAGCGGTATGTTTCGAAGCCAAGCATCCAATCATACTAACAAGAAACCACATTACTTGTGATTTAATAATGGAGTTTGACGAGCCCAATTTACATGCTGGGCCATGTTCCCTTCTGTCCAAGATTCGTTTACAATATTGGCCCATTGGCAGCAAAAAAACTGTATAAGCTGCTATAAGCAAATGTATTTCTTGCTTTCGCGCTAACCGAGTGACGGGAATCAATGCTTTCGAACTATTTGGGCACGATTCTATGGACCCTTGTATAAAGGAAAAGGCAATAAAGGCCGTTCATTTGGAATTGGTACAGAATACGAGGTGTTTTGAAAAAGTATCGCGAATTTTGTGTTTTTTCAAAAATTATTTATTTATTCTTGAATATCTATTTTGTCGCCTTCAAAGTAATCCCCATGAGATATTATTCACTTGTGCCAACGGTTTTTCCAATCTTCGAAGCACTTCAAAAAATCATTTTTTTTATCTTGTTCAGCTCCTCCTTCGATGCCGTCTTTATCTCGTCAAGCGTAGCGTAACGTCGTCCTTTCATGGGCCTCTTCAGTTTAGGAAACAAGAAAAAGTCACAGAGGGCCAAATCTGGAGAATACGGTGCCTGCGGCATCATTAATGTGTTGTTTTTGGCCAAAAAGTCGCGCACAAGCAACGATGTGTGAGCAGGGGCGTTATCGTGGTGCAAAAGCCAATTTTTGTGCTTCCGCAATCGAAGAAAACTGTCAGCAAAACTTTCACATTCGACCGAACTTGGCGCGCTTTTTTCGATCTTGGTTCGTGAGGCAGCTTCCATTGAGATGATTGGGCTTTGGTTTCCACGTCGTAACCATAAACCCATAATTCGTCACCAGTTATGACCCTCTGGAGCAAATTTGGGTCGTCTCGGACAGAGTTTAACATCTCATTACCAATGTTCATGCGATGCTGTTTTTGGTCGCAATTGAGCAATTTTGGTCCGAATTTCGCGGCGACCCGACTCATGCCCAAATCATTGATAAAAATCGAATGGCATGAGCCAATCGTTATGTTTAGGTCCTCAGGAACTTCTCTAACGGTGATTCGACGATTGGCCAATACCATTTTCTCCACTTCATTAATTTTTTCGTCTGTTGTTGAAGTGCTCGGGCGTCCGGCACGCTCTTCGTCGTTCACATCTTCTCGGCCTTCTAAGAACATTTTGTACCACCGATAAGCGTTGCTTCGGTCCAAGGTAGCTTCTCCGTATGCCACAGTCAACATTCGGAATGCATCCACGTACTTCATTTCGTTTTTCACACAAAATTTGATACAGTTTCTTTAATCCATTTTTTTGAATAGGTAAATATCGAAGACGAGCCAAAACACGTGTAAGCAAAGGAGCTGCCAACAATTAAGTAAACATTTAAAATGGCCGAGCTTGTCGGCATAAGTGAGAGACATGAGTACCAACATAACGCCACAAATAAATCGAAATTCGATACGAGGTAACCCGCGAAAATTCAAAATTCGCGATACTTTTTGAGCACACCTCCTATGTCCACCGAAACAGCAACGGCTCATCAAATTTTGTTCAGATAGACGGCGGTAAAAGTGTTCGGAGAAATGCGAAAACCTTTAAGCTTTAAGCTTTTGGTAAGGGTTCCTAGGAGCAACAACATTTGTGGTCAAATATCGGCAACATAGCGGCGAATGTTGTCTTCCAAATGGTCAAGCATTTTTTTAGTTTTAAAATTTCAAATTTATTCAAAAATGTAGTGAAAACAATGCGTTTTCGTTTCGGATCTCGCTAGACCGATCCAGCCTTACATTCCCTAATCCGAGAAGAGTCACTGGTGAGCTCAGGCACAACCGCTCTTCCAGGGAACTCTGCAGCGGCTACATACAACATAAAGCCCGCTTAATAAGCGCATTTTGCTAAGCCTAAATGATCTGTGGTCTTGGTCACCAAAATTAGGGTCTAATAAATTTATTTCGGCGAACCGATGGGTTTCGGGTGTTCTTTTAAATAAAATCTATATAGGTTCCATACAGTTTCTATTCTCTTCATACATTACATTTTATGGAAAAGCAATCACGTTAGCATTTTTTTTTTTTTAATACGTTCCCAAGCTTACAACTGGGATAGCGTGTTTCCACCATTTTAAATTGTTTGTTTTAACTCGAAGAATGAATGAACATGCATGAGAAATCCGCCCAGCAGTTCTGGCTGGTGAATCGTTTCATTCAAGCAATCGTGTCTGTAAGAAAGGAAAAGGAATATTCCTAAGTTTCCCTCTCTTTCTCACTCTTATAATACGTTTTCGTTGTTTGCAACCGAATGCGGCCCGACTCCGAATTTGTTTCTATTCTTTCTTTTTTTTTATTGCATTGTTGTCATTCTCCGTTAGAAACAAAAGTTTGGGTTTCGGTAAAAACACGTCTGAGGGGGGCCTCGATACATAAGTACTCTTTTGATGTTAAAGCTCTTCAAATTTAAACATAATCTCTATATATATAAAATTTTCGTGTCACAGTTTTTGTTCCCATACTCTTCCGAAACGGCTATACCCATAATACAATTATACAAGGTAGTCCACTCGGCAAAATCCATAGTCCCCTATTTTTAGCTTTGACAAGTAAGTGTGAGTGAAACGGCTACATACAAGCAGGCACGCACAAGGAAAATAAGGGACCAAACCCGAACGACTTCGGCAAGCCGAGTGGACTACCTTGTATAATTGTACCATGGCTATACCGATTCTCATGAAATTTTGTGAGCGTAGGTCTGAGAATCGGCCAACATATATTTTTCATCCTCTTAAATCCTGTTCGACATACCAAAAATCGCAGATAAAGTGAGTTACTACCTCATCACACTGACAAACACACGCTAACATAACTTTTTAACTCAATTTTTGTGACTTTGCTGTATTGAAGTGAAGTCAAGTTTTTTGGGGTTTTGGTAATGGCTTCGTTTTATGTAACATTTCGACCCGTGTGTCGGGAAATCTTCTGTACGTGTGTTAGTCATTGAACTCCTCCTAAACGGCTGGACCGATTTTGATGAAATTTTCTGTGTGTATCCTAGGGGGTTTGAGGATGGTTTAGATTTACAATATGTTAAAAAAATATTTATTATTTTTGAGGTTTTTAATGTTTTAATAATTTTCTTTTTTCGCTTATACATTACAAACTCAGTAGGTAATTATACATAAGTCTAAAACTGAGTAAATTTTGTACAGACATTATAAAGTCATGTTTGGAAGACGACGTTGTTGGAACAAAGGTCGTAGTACAGTGAATGCTAAAAGAGTACGTTGCCATCTGGTGGCGAAACGGAGTTCGTCGGGGTTAGCTAAAAAAAACCGAATAGAAAAAAATGGTTTCGGTCTGAGCGCAACCGAACCCATAAATCGGTCGTTCTCTGAGACTTTTCGTAAAGAGTCAGGAGCATGGTACAACTATATAAGGTAGTCCCGTCGGCTTTTTCTTCCCCCTATCGACACTACAATTAGAGCGAGAGAGTGTTTTCCTATGGGTTCGGGTCGATAGGGGGAAAGAACCCGAACGATTTTGCAGCCGACGGGACTACCTTATATAATTGTACCATGGTCAGGAGAAGACTGTTATTAGCAGACAACGAGAAACGGTCGACTGTTATTTGCGAGCTCTGGTAAATTCACAACCAATCGTCAACTCACTACGGCAAAAGAATGACGCTGGTCAATTTCATTTTTCACCCTTTTCCTCCAATTATTTTCTTTAGTTTTAGTATACCCTTCTTTTTTGGGTATAACCGACCATAAATGACACGCGAGTTATATTATATCTATATTTGCAATCAATGTTGTGTTATGGTTATCTTGGTTTAATAATTTATATGTATAATGTTGAATATATATAATATATTATATATTATATTAAATATTTGAAGAACTTTAACATCAAAAGAGTATACATAAGTCGAGCGCCCCTCAGCCGTATTTTCCATCGG